GAACAATGTGAATGTAACTTGTGTGTGAGTAAATTATTTCACTAAAGAAAGGTCTCTGTTTTACATTTGTTTAAATAAATAAATAAATAGAAAGATACTTAGCAATACACAACAGGACTTTAGCTTCTGTTGTGTATTACAGAAGCTACAGTTCTCTCTGGTCTCTCTCTAGTCTCTCGTTAGTCTCACTCTGGTCTCTCTGATATCTCTGGCCTCTCTTTGATCTCTGTCTGGTCTCTCTCTCCCGTCTCTCTTTGGTCTCTCGTTGGTCTCTTTCTAGTCCCTCTCTGGTCTCTCTTTAGTCATTTTTAGGGTGAAATGACGTTCTTATCATTTCCATATTCTATTTCTTTAGACCAGTGTTTTTCAACTGTTTTTGAGCCAAGGCACTTTTTTCATTGAATACATTTTGCGGCACATCACACATGAGAAAATGTAAAGATATATAGTCATTCTTATAATCCAGGCCTTGACATTAAGCTTGGTTTAAAATGTCTCAATACCATGAGTTAACAAGAGTTTGGGAATCAAGTGGGGGAAAAAAAACATGCAAAAATCCACTCTCAGCCCAAAAAGTCAAATAATGACTCAGAGGGCTCTTATATGTGAAAAATAATTATTAAAAAAGGTCCCTGCTGTGTGTTCTGTTTGATTTGTTCACAACATTTTACTTTTTGCTCAAATAACGTGCATTTTTAAAGGACAACTCACCCTCAAATCCACTTTTTTTTGCTGATAAATGGTATAAATGAGTGTCCAATAGTGTTGTCTACATATCCTGGTCATAATCTTGTCACTTTGGTGCAAATTAGTTGAAAGTAAATCTTTCTGCCTAAAACCGTCTGTGAGGCGCCATCTGCTGGCGACCTGTATTACTACATTTGAATTTTGAATCTGGCGCCAACACTGGCACAGAAGTTGGACCTGACGTCTGCAAGTTGGACCTGACGTCAGCAGCCCCCCGCCCAGAGCAATGTAAACGGCCCAGTCTCGTTCACGCCCCCTTTAGTCCTCCAGGCTACGCCCATTTAGAGGAAGATTTGAACAGGAAATGTGAGTGACGTAAGCTCCGAGGAGCGGGGGTGAGAACCACTTTAATGCATGGGGAAAATTTAGGTATCCGAGCTTTAAAATCAGGAGTTTTGCGTTTCGGCAAAAACACAGGAGATGGTCCTGAACACGAGTCAAGGACCGCGCAGATGGTTCTGTCCACGCGGGTCCGCGTGCGGCACCATGTTACAGATGTGCGTTCGCTGAGCTGTTGTCAAAGCGGCTGTCAGTACAAAACGGGCCACAGCTGCCCCGGGGTCAGAGCGGAGGATGTGAATCCTGTTCAGAAATGGCATAATTCCTTTTCAAAAACGTCTCAATCACTTTCACTTCTCACTCGCCAGAATTCTCCCCGCTGCCTCTTGCGTTGGTTGGTCGCGTCCAATTCTTACATTTCTCGCCACCCGGCCACTTGTTAACATTGGTTGCAGGGCGGTTATTCGCATTATCCAGAACAGGTAATTCCTCTCTTCTCTTCATTCTCTGAGTTAATATACCCAGTAATAATGTTTTATCGCTGTGTAGGTTTATGTGTCTAAGTACTAGTGTAATATTTGATTTCACCTCGGTCCAATAGTCTTGGATTTTCGTACAAGTCATAAAAATATGTCTGTAGTCCACCTCTTTCTCCCCGCACTTCCTCCAACATTCTCCCAGGTTCTTGTTCTTTGTGTACTTCGAGATTGCTTTAGGTGTTTGGAAGAACCTCAAATGTAGTTTCCAAGCAAACTCTTGCCAATATGGTGATCGTATGTGTGAGTGGTTTGCCTTTATACTTTTCGTACCACTTGTCGTTCTCAATTCTTTTCAAAGTACTTTGCTCTCTGCTGCCACATACTGACCTGAAAAAGTATTACGTGGTTACGCCACAGTTCAAGACAAGTCTGCGCTTGTCAATAGTGAATGCAGTTATTTTTAGACAAAGTTAGCGAATTTCTCACGGCACACCAGACAATATCATACGGCACAGTTGTTGAAAAACACTGCTTTAGACCAGGGGTGTCCAAACTTTTTAGTAAGAGGGCTACTTCAGTTCACCAGACTGGTTCAGGGGCCGACATCTCAGACTGAAAAACTGTCTTGACTGAGCTTTAAAATGATCTACAACAGAGCTGAAGTTGGCTGAATGACACATGTTTACCATCTCTCCAGCTACATTAGCATCTTTAACGGTGGCTTTTGACACAATCAAAACCCGCGTCAGCACCGTCTGTACAAATAACAACTGAAAACAGGACTGGGCTTTAGAACGATGTCAATACAGGCTGAGCTGAAGTTGGATGGATGACACAGTGAACTTGTATTAATGATCTCATAGACAACTTTGGGTTGGCAAGGCAGAGGGCCACATGATCTGACACTGAGGGCCGCATTTGGCCCCCGGGCCTGAGTTTGGACATGCCTGGTGTAGACGAACATGTGAAATATAAAAGATGAAACCACTGTGTAGGACTAATCAGATGTGGTTAAAGGGGGCCCTGATAAAAGCTTTGGCCCCAGCCTCCAAATAGACAGGACCGGCCCTGACGAGACCTGAGAGACCGGACCAGCTCCTGAGGAAGTACCTCTGCCCCTGGTGAAGAGCTGGACCTGGTCTCTGGTCTGGAACCGTGGCTTTTCAATCTGCCTTTTGGAAGAATACTAAATGTGTGAAGCTGAGGCTGTAGTTCTGGCCTCTGATTACTAGTGTCACGGGAGTAAATGGAGGATCATGAAACTGTATTTTTAGTTTTGTTGTGGTCGAGGTTCAGCTTCAGTGTAGTTTTGTTTCTCCCTAAATCAGTCGTTTTGTTGAAAGATTTTACAAAGATATTGATTCACCAACAACAGATCAGAGAATCATTTATGATTTTTATATCATACATCTCTCTGGTTTCTCTCTATTTGGTCTCTTTCTCTCTGGTCTCTCTCTCTGGTCTCTCTCTCTGGTCTCTCTCTCTCTGGTCTCTCTCTCTGGTCTCTCTCTCTGACCTCTCTCTATTTGGTCTCTTTCTCTCTGGTCTCTCTCTCTCTGGTCTCTCTCTCTGACCTCTCTCTATTTGGTCTCTTTCTCTCTGGTCTCTCTCTGACCTCTCTCTCTCTGGTCTCTCTCTCTCTCTCTGGTCTCTCTCTCTGACCCCTCTCTCTGGTCTCTCTCTCTCTCTGGTCTCTCTCCCTCTCTGGCGTCTCACTCTGGTCTCTTTCTCTCTAACCACTCTCTCTCTCTCTGGTCTCTCTCTCTTTGGTCTCTCTCTCTCTGACCTCTCTCTCTCTCTCTCTGACCTCTCTCTCTTTAATCTCTCTAATCTTTCTAACCTCTCTCTCTTTGGCCTCTCTCTCCCTGGTCTCTCTCTCTGGCCTCTCTCTCCCTGGTCTCTCTCTTTGGCCTCTCTCTCCCTGGTCTCTCTCTTTGGCTTCTCTCTCCCTGTTCTCTCTCTTTGGCCTCTCTCTCCCTGGTCTCTCTCTTTGGCCTCTCTCTCCCTGGTCTCTCTCTCTTGTCTCTCTCCCTGGTCTCTCTCCCTGGTCTCTCTCTCTGGCCTCTCTCCTGGCCTCTCTCTCCCTGGTCTCTCTCTTTGGCCTCTCTCTCCCTGGTCTCTCTCTTTGGCCTCTCTCTCCCTGGTCTCTCTCTTTGGCCTCTCTCTCCCTGGTCTCTCTCTTTGGCCTCTCTCTCCCTGGTCTCTCTCTTTGGCCTCTCTCTCCCTGGTCTCTCTCTTTGGCCTCTCTCTCTCTGGCCTCTCTCTCTTTGGCCTCTCTCTCCCTGGTCTCTCTCTTTGGCCTCTCTCTCTCTGGCCTCTCTCTCTTTGGCCTCTCTCTCCCTGGTCTCTCTCTCTTGTCTCTCTCCCTGGTCTCTCTCTTTGGCCTCTCTCTCTCAAGAGGCTGCATTTCAGACCAGACCCAGACTTTTGTTTTCAAAGCATTTAAACTTTAGTGTCGATCGCAGACTTGACCGACGCTAAGCTAACACTAAGCTAACACTAAGCTAGCACTTCCCTCATAAAGACTGTTCCGTGTTTTCCGAGGGCTTCTTTGCGCAGGGTAAATATTGAGCTTGTATCTCGGGACCGAAACGTCGTAAACTTAAACTCTTCGACGTTTGACTCTGGTATTATTTCAAAGGCAGCGAAAACACAGACGTGGCTCGGAAAGCTCCTCGTTAGCGACTCCGGCCCTCCGAGGGTCAATAAACAGCCCGGGATTAGGTTTGGTTTGGACCAGGACCGGTTCTGACCGTGTTTGCACTAATTACAGACTGACAATGTGACGACAGACGAGGTTTGGAGAAAAGAGAAACGTGAACTTTTTACTTTTTCAACGGAATTTCAGTGAGAACTTGAGTGTAATCCACCCTCCTCCTCAGAGCCACATTATCCCTGTGAGAGAGAGCTCAGAGCACTTTTACAGCAGCACCAGCAGACCGGCCTGGACCGGGTCTGAGCCAGGACTGAGCCAGGTCTGAGCCAGGTCTGGACCAGGACTGAATCAGGACTGAGCCAGGACTGGACCAGGTCAGAGCCAGGACTGAGCCAGGACTGAACCAGGACTGAATCAGGACTGAGCCAGGACTGGACCAGGTCAGAGCCAGGACTGAGCCAGGACTGAACCAGGACTGAATCAGGACTGAGCCAGGACTGAGCCAGGACTGGACCAGGTCAGAGCCAGGACTGAGCCAGGACTGAACCAGGACTGAACTAGACCAGGTCTTAGGGTAGGATTTAAATCAGATTTAAAGCAGGACTAAAGCAGGTCTAAAGCAGGCCTAAATCAGGTCTAAGCAGGCAGGACTAAAGCAGGAATCAAGCAGATCGAAAGCAGGTCTAAAGTAGGACTAGAGCAGGACTGAAGCAGGTCTAAAGCAGGTCTAAAGCAGGACTAGAGCAGGACTTTGTGACTCTGGTCTGTGAAAGGCGGTATATAAATAAAGCTTACTTACTTACTTACTTACTACTAGAGTAGGTCTTAAGCAGGACTAA